CAAGATATCTCACTATTTTTGACTTTTCTGAGCCTGTCAAGTCCTTCTTTTGACCCATTTTGCCAAAGGAAAGGAAGTTGCCTAATAATTATGCACACCTGATATAGGGTGTTGATGTCATTAGACCACACCCCTTCTCATTACAGAGATGCACATCACCTAATATGCATAAAGAGGATGATGTGGTCAAAATACTCATTTGCCTAATAATTCTGCACTCCCTGTATTCATGGGCACTTTTTGGATATGTTGTGCACTCAGATCCAGGCTATCCAGGGATGTAAGATTTGAGGGGGTACATGGTTGTTTTAACTATGTTTTGAGGGGTTTTAAAATATTGTACTTTTTTTTTTCTTTCTGTACTTGAGAGAGAATTCAATTATAGGTTTTTCCCAGGCCATTATCTCTAAAGTATAGAGGATCTTGGGAGAAAATTCCCTGTGTGTTTGTATTGGAAACCCCATGTAGGGGCTTTTGCATGAAAGGCAGTGTGTGGCCCCAGGGGTCAAGTCCTGGAGAAAAAAGTGTAGGAACTCACCCAAGACACCACCCCCAGCCCCCAAGAAAAACCCAATATACACTATATAAGTGGGTGCACACACACTCATACACAGACACCCACACAATCTCACAGACACATACATACACACACAATTTATTATTATTATTTTTAAATTTAAAAAGTCCACCCAGCCTCCCTACCTGGAGAGCTGGCATGGAATTGTCCCTGGGGTCCAGTGGGGCTTCAGTGCGGCGGGCATCTGTTTCCATGTCAGACGCGGCAAAGGAGCGTTCTCTCTGCTCTTCTCCCTCTCGCTGCACGAGCTGTCTACTGATGCCGGGAGCCGGAATGACGTCATATTCCAGCTCCCAACATGAGCAAATGGCACGCGAGGGAGCAGAGCAGAGAGAGCACAGTGCCCTCACCGTGTCTGACAGGGAAACAGGCGCCCACCGGAAGGGTCCATCAGGCCACCTCTTGGGGGGGCCCCCCCATGACAGGGGGAACACGGGTGGCATTTGGGGATGGCATTTTTTGCTATACTCTCTGGAGGAGACGTCTACCCACTGGAATCTGGATCCAGGACTTGAATCCAGGGTAGGAGAAGATGGCGAGACCCCAGTCAAGCTGCGGTGGCTAAGGGGCTACAGTGCTTATGGTGTCTGGTGAAGTGCTTATGGTTTCCCGGGGATTACTAGGAAGCGTGATTGGCAGAGGGACCCAGTCGGAGTACCAGGTAGTCTGCCACACTCCCAAATTCAATCCTTTAAAGGACCACTATAGTGCCAGGAAAACATACTCGTTTTCCTGGCACTATAGTGCCCTGAGGGTGTCCCCACCCTCAGGGTCCCCCTCCCGCCGGGCTCTTTCTCTTACCTCTTTCTCCAGCACCGGGTGGGGAGCTCTCCTCCTCCTCTCCTCCCTCTTCTCCTCCTCTTCGGCTGAATGCGCATGAGCCGCGCGCGCATTCAGCCAGTCCATAGGAAAGCATTTACAATGCTTTCCTATGGACGCTGGCGTCTTCTCACTGTGAAAATCACAGTGAGAAGCATGCAAGCGCCTCTAGCGGCTGTCAAGAGACAGCCACTGGAGGCTGGATTAATCCTAACATAAACATAGCAGTTTCTCTGAAACTGCTATGTTTATAAAAAAAAAAAAAAGGGTTAACCCTAGCTAGACCTGGCACCCAGACCACTTCATTAAGCTGAAGTGGTCTGGGTGCCTATAGTGGTCCTTTAAGGATTTTATACTTTGTTATAAATCAGAATATTGTACCTAAAGACCATATGCCAGCATAAAATGCATGTTTAGTTTTGGCAGCTACAGAACATTCCACTTTGAAAAAGGATTCTTCGAGAACACATTATGATGACTTAGATTATCAGAGCTCCTTATGCCATTGTCTAACCATTTACTGGAGTACCATTGACCGATACACATTGGGGAAGCAGTTTGGTATCCTGCTCCCATACCTCAGCTGCCATGTCTGCCTGCAAACACTAAAGTAACAGTTACACAGACAGAACTACAAATAGCTTTATTTCCCCACTGTAATATTATTTGGACAATCCTACTGCCATGGACATTATTATCAGAGAATATCTACAAATAATTGGGCAAAGAACTGTTAAGCACTCGAAGAGCCCCTAATCCTGCCCCCACCAGCCTGCTCTTCAGCAAAATCCATGATGACTTGGAAGATCCCAAAGTTGGTGGTTAGTAATCGCCTCAGAAAATATTATTAAAGTAAATGTGGATAGGCCTATTTTACCCTAAAATAAAACATCATCACCCTCAGAGTCTGAGCAAGAAAAATGTATTTATGTTATAGATAACTCTGGTTTTGAGTCAGAGAAGCACCGCAAACTTTTTCTGGCATTTCTGGGCTTAAACTTGAACTCCCTGTTAGGGACGCCAGGGCCACTTATCTCCTTCCACAGTTGCTTTGTTTTTCTATACTCCATTCCTATTAGATACTTGTTTCCTGAGCAACTGTCTTATTAGTCTTTATTTTATTTTTTGTAAATGTACTACGCATATTCTTATATTGGTTCATCTTTATCATCTCTTTAATAACATTTTAAAATACAATTCGAATAAATAGTTTTAAAAATGTATCAAGTGTGTAATTAGTAAGGTTTAAATACATTGATAAAATGTATTTAGTGAAAGCAATATACAACCATTTGGGTGGGATTTGTGCCTTTTTCATACAATTTGATAGACCATTATTTATAGTCAGTATTTCCTTTAAATTCCGTGTTATTGTTTTACAGATGATTTTGTGAACAGAAATAATCCGGAAGAACATCTAAAGAACATAAATACATTGAGCAGGAGTCTGGTGATGGGAGACAGAATAAAGCTGGAAAATGCAAGCCCGTGTGAACAAGTCAATTCTCCAGAGCCACATATATCTACAAATCCCAAAACAGATGGACAGAAACATCTCATATCTCCTGAACGTGGCAAACTTTATCAACATAACTCAGACCAGCTCCAGCTGTATAATACAGCAGAGAAAATGTATTCTTGCCCTGACTGTAAGAAACGTTTCATCTATAAATCCACTCTTGTTGCCCATCAGAGAACTCACACAGGAGAGAAATGTTTCTCATGTTTTGTGTGTGGAAAAGGTTTTCATTATAAAACAGATCTTATTGTTCATCAGATGATTCACACAGGGGACAAACCTTTCTCGTGTTCTCAATGTGGGAAGAGTTTTCATTCGAACACAGATCTTGTAACACATCAGATGATTCATTTGGGTGAGAAGCCTTTCTCTTGTTCTGAATGTGGGAAAGATTTTAGCCAGCGATCAACTCTTGCAGCACACGAAAGAACTCACACAGGAGAGAAGCCTTTCATTTGTTCAGAATGTGGAAAGGGTTTCAACCAGAAGTCATCACTTGTTACACATCAGAGAACTCACACAGGAGAGAAACCTTTCATTTGTTCTGAATGTGGGAAATGTTTTAGCCAAAAAGCGTCTCTTGTTGCACATGAGAGAACTCACACAGGTGAAACGCCATTCATTTGTTCAGAATGTGGTAAAAGTTTTCACTATAATGCAGACCTTGTGACACATCAGAGGACTCACACGGGAGCAAAGCCTTTCTCCTGTACTGACTGTGGAAAATGTTTCAGCCAGAAAGCATCACTAGTTGGACACATGAGAACTCACACAGGGGAGAAACCATTCTCCTGCTGTGAATGCGGGAAATGTTTCACCTTCAAATCCACGCTTGTTGCACATCAGAGAACTCACACAGGAGAGAAACCTTTGTCATGTTCAGAATGTGGGAAATGTTTTCACTATAAATCAGAGCTTGTTACACATCAGAGAACACATACAGGAGAGAAACCATTCTCTTGTTCGGTATGTGGGAAAGTTTTTTCTTATAGTTCATATCTTGTTGTGCATGAGAGAGCTCATGCAGGCAAGAAATCTTTCATTTGTTCTGAATGTGGGAAATGTTTCAGCTTCAAATCAGCTCTTGTTAGACATCAGAGAACTCACACAGGAGACAGAACTATCTCATGTTCTTAATGTAGATCGATTTGAAACCTGAAGAATTACCTAGTGGATTGCATTGGAGTGGCGAATGAAGGAGCCCCCTGTTGGGTTGAAGACTAACAGTTTAATAAATTTTACTGCGTGGAATGAGTTACTTGGCTGCATGTCAGGGAAGAGATGAAGTGTGTGAAGGATTACCCAGTTCATATTTTCAGCTGCATTCCACCATCTTGGACACAATGTAAATTGTCACCACATGTTTCTTTAGCACTATAGTATTAAAGGGTAGCTGTCACAATAAATACGATTTGATCCTAAATAATATTGAAATACGTTTCATCTACATTGTGCTAGCAAATGTTTAGATTCTAAAATCAGAGAATCATGTTCATGCTGAAATATTGGTCACTTCTCATGTCCTTAAACAATGTCTGATTGCCAATATGTTGTCTTTTTAATGCACAACAAAAAATTGAGTTTTTTTTTTCTCTGTCTGTCCATTTAGCCTGTGCTGCTGAGCACAGAGACACAAAAGTAGTTCTCTGTACGTCTGTTATCATGGAAACCCACTTTTGGGTGTCTGCTTGCCTTCACCTTGGGGACATCAATATCTCAGTGTATACTTTTCTAACAACTTACGTCATACCCATACTTTTACCCTTTGTGTCACTATACCCCACTCCCTCTAGAATGTAAGCTCATTGAGCAGGGCCCTCCACCTCTCTGTTCCTGTACGTCAAGTTGACTGGTTACAATTACATGTCTGTTAGTCCACCCATTGTACAGCGCTACGGAATCTGATGGCGCTATATAAATAATAAAATAATCTGAACAGAGAAGGAGAGAAGAGGGGCAAGCACTGTGTCAGTTCAGCCACATTAGAGTGGAGCAAAAGAGAATGATTTATTGATAAGGCTTTGGACAGGTAATCTGAGAATGGAGGGAGAGAGAACAAATAAGCTAAAGCCAACAAAGTGCTGGGGACTTTTCACCTTAATGTAGATCAATGCAAAGTTATGCACTTTGGGCTGAAGAATGCATTAACAACATACACCTTCCATGTCAGCAAGATAGGGAAAATAACACAAGTTTGGGAATTGTTATTGATAGCAAACTAGCTAACAATACCTATTGCTATGGCCAGTAATATATTCTCATACATAAAAAGAGGCATTAATTCTTGGGACGAAAATATAATTTAGCTTCTTTATCAATGATTGGTAAGACCACATCTCGAATATGTCATACAGTTTTTGACACCTGTTCTAAAGGAGGGGAGCATGACTCTAGAAAAACTGCAAAGGCAGGCTACACAATAAGGGGAAGGGAAGATTTTAGTTATGAAGAAAGGCTACCAAATATAAATTTGTATACTTTAGAAACAGCCTCTCAGAGGGACTATGATAGTATTATACAACTATATTCAGAGCCAATAAAAGCCATTGTATGGTAATCAATTCATAGACAGGACTATACATAAGACACAATGTCACATATTAGACTGGAAAGAAGGAGATTTAGTCTAAGGCAAAGGAAAGGGCTCTTCTGTAAGAACAATCAGGATGTGGAATTCTCTGCCTGAAGAGGTGGTTTTATCAGAGTCCATACAGAATTTTTTTTTTTTTTTATTCTTTATTTTACTTGTGCATGTGGTTACAAAAACACGCTTGCAACGCCACGATAGCGACTGCGAGCAATTCCATGACAATCATTGGCATAGTTAAGAGGTTGCACATTTTATATTAGAAATGTATAACAAGCAAGTAATGCATAGAGTGATTAAAGAAAATAAGTACACATGGTAAAGTAGGGAAATATGGCTTCGGTGTAGTGCCTGATGTGTACTAAAATTGTGCTTGGGACATTAGCTTTACAACAACCGATTGATACCTGATGTGTGAGAGTTTAGTTTGCGCTTTTAGTGCGTGTGCCCTTAAGTGAGCCCCACTGTGTTTTAGTGAGCTGTTCCAAGGGTTGGGAGTGTTCGGTTCAGTAGTATGATTATGCCATAATATTATAATACAATATTTTCCCCCCCCTGCTGTTTCTGTAATATAGTTGTGAGTGTGAGGGTGTTCGGTTGCAGGGTGTAAGATAGCCCCGTCCGTCCGCCGTTACTAACTTTGTGACGTTTTATATCTGATGCGGGCGGGGGGGGAGGAGAGATTAATCTGATGGGTGGCATAGATCTATGTGTAATGTGTGTGGATGGCTGGCATCATTATTTGTGTCCTGCTGGGGAAGGGTTCAGACATGGGTGGTAACAGGCAAAACTTTCCAAATAAGCAAATTAAACAGAACGACCACCATAACTGAGGAGTCATAAAATAAAAATTAACTCTGTCAGAATTAGGTCTAACTGTCCGGGGCAGAGATTTAGCATTCGTGTCCTCGAGTCCTTTACGCTGGGTTGTCAACAGGGTTTCCATGTCTGGGCCGTAGCGGAACAAAGGTGTGCACCCTATCAGGATCCCACCTGTGCTTTGGTGTGGTGGTCCCGGTGTGTGCCGTGGGACGCATTTCATCCTGAGGTAGTCCCAACGTGGCTAGTAGGTCTTGCGCACCTTGCTGGTTGTATACTTCGTGTGTGTTCTCACCCTGGTGTACTAGCAGGGTGTCTATATGTTATGCCTTTCTGTTGAAGAAGCGTAGTGAACGGCCGGAGCGACCTCCTCCAGGCCAGAGTGCTGCCGGTTAAGTCTGTAAAAAAAGGTAAGTGATATTGCTTCAAATGAGTACTGGGCGTGATTTTTTGTTGCCGCTCTGTCCTCCCTGCGCTGGAAGCGGATTATGGTATCTCTGGTCGCAGTTTTTGGGGCTTTGGCTGATTTAGGTACCCTGTAAATTCCGTCCAGACTTACGGCTTTTGCTTGCCGTGATGGTAGTAGCGCTGCTAGTAGTCTCCGCACGAAATGCGGTAGTTCCTCCGCCGGCATGTTATCAGGTATGCCCCATATCTTTATGTTGGCCGTTCGGCGTGCATCCTCCAGTGCGGCGAATTGCCGCTCAAAGGCCTCTGTTTTGCTTTGCAGGCCCCTTATCTCCTGTTGCATGGAGACAATTTGGGTCGTGGTGGTAGTGGATGTCTGTTCCAGGGTACTCAGTCTCCCGGTTATGCCTTGGAGGTCCGTGCGGAGGCCCGCCATTTCTCCCTGGATCGTAGTCTGTAGGCCCGCCAGCAGCACCTTAAGCACCGCTGTAGTAACTGGTGCATTGTCGGGATCCGGGGGCTTGGGTGTGGTCACCGGTAGGCTGAGAGGTATGTGTGTGTCCTCCCCCTGGGAGAAGTCGTCAGACAGGTCCGAATAAGTTTCTGGATAGTTGGCCATCTTGGGTCCAGTTGCTCCCTGTGCCTGTCTCCACATGGCTCCAATGTCTAGGCCAGGTCTCGGCTGGTCGGGCTTTTGTTTTTTATTTTTCCGTCCCATGTCGGTTCCCCCGCTGTAGCCTATGGTTTTCAGCGGTTGTGGTTGTTTTTTTTTGGAAAAGTTAACAGTTTTTAGAGTTAAATCGCAGGAGCTGCTGTACCATGCGGCTTCTCTGCTCTGCTGCTTGACTCCGCCCCCTGTCCATACAGAATTTTAAACTACAACTGGATAAAACACGATTCAGGGATATAATTAGTATTATGTGGGGTAATAGCTGAAACAGATATGATAATGGATGAAAATTGATTCTATTAATTGTATTATATGTGTTGAAGAGTTATTGAAGCTAGTGTCAGCTTTGCAGTGACCTTTAGGTAGCTGCATCCACTGTAGTTATCAATTTATTTGAGATAGCTCACAGCTGAACTTCAATTCACATTTGCACTAACGGTTACCAGCAATAAAGAAGTAGTTTAAAACAGGAGATGGAAGGGACAGAGTAGACGGGGTTACGATGCAGAATGTCGTAAAACATTTAGTATTGTGGGTTTAAAATTTTTTTTTTTTTAAATATATATATATATATATACAAAAAAAGAGCCAAGCTAAAGTTGGAACATGCTATAGGGCTAAATATAGTTGGTTATAAACTCTAGATGTAGTTATAAAAGGTCTCAATAGTTAATTTATCTTTTTTTATAATCCCTTCTTCCTCACTTTTCTTCTCTGCTGAGAACAAACCCATGTACACCGACCCTTTGAGATCTGTTCAAACGCTTCTCATAGAGGCATTTGAGTAGACTTAGAGAGGAAAGCGGTGCTATGGCATGATGGGCAGGGTGTAGAGAGCATTGAGAATAACCTTATCCAGCACTCGATTCCAGGTAAGTTACATCTATATTTATAGGTTTTTCAATTAAAGTAAGGGGATGGGGAATTAAGTTACTAGTGCCCAAATAGGGAATTATAAATTAAATAAAACAAACCATGAAAAGGTGGTTGGAATCAGGGCCGTTCCTGAGGTCCAGGAAGCTGACACAGAAGGCGGACCAGCAAGTGCTGAAAAGCATTGTGATCACGGGCATGATATGGTTAGCCCATGTGCTCTCCAACACTGCTCCCTTACGTGCAAGGGAGCAGTGCTGGAAGAGCCTGAAGATGACAGCAGCCATGCACTGGAGCCCAGGGAAAGGATCCACACTGGACCACAGTTAAAGAATCCACTCCAGCTCTCCCAAAGAAGTCCTCCCAGGAAGCCTGGGTGGACTTAAATAAAAATTATTTTCAAAAAGGTTATTTCTGAGTGTGTGAGAGAATGTATATGTGTCTGTCAGTGTGTGTCAAATCAGTGAGTGTGTGTCTCAATAAATTTGTGTATCAGCAAGTGTGTATAAAATTAGTGAGAGTGTATCTATCAGTGAGTGTGTGTGTCAGTTTCCCCTGTGAGTAAAATTGTGTGTCAGTGTACTTTGTGTGTAAGTGTGTGTGTGTAAGTGTCCTCTGTGTTGAAATATATGTGTCAGTGGTTTCTGTGTGTAAATGTGTGTGTGAAACCACATGGCTAAACTCACCTGAACATGCATACTTACAAGACAGGGACCAATTCATACAACATACAAATCCAGCGCACTCACTCATTCATTAAACAGCAATTTTGAGTCTCATATAATGTAATCGTTTTATTTAAAAACACCTCACCTAGGTCAAAATAATTGCATATATACTAAGGCTATGGCCTGTAGCTGTGGGGTTGCCTGGCTATTTAAACTCTGGCAAACCCTTTACCGGGGCCATTGCCATTTGACTCACTTGTTGCCTTGGCAAATTCAGTTCTGGCCCCTGGACATGTGCAGGGAAATCTATACTGGAGTTCATTCCCTCTTATTCAGACAATTACTGCTCGCTACTAAATGACTTGGGCCTCCTTCAGTCACAATCCATGTGCAGCTGGTTTTCAGACTAACATCTCTATTCCCCCAAACCACTACTTAAGTTGGAACTTCTACACAAAGTTTAAGATATTGCAGTGTTTCATTCGACCCTCATTTGGCCTTTTTATTATATTCTCATAATCATATGTCTAAATAAAAATTACGTTCAGCCCTCATTCAGCCTTTTTCTATGAGCCATTTCGTTACTGATGTGTATGGAGCTTTCAACCACATGCAGCCTTGGTGTCTATTTGGGCACATTTGGCTCCTGTTTGGTTCTTGTTCTGGCATTTAATCTGTATAGAGACATTAACTGTTCCTCGTTCCCACAATGCAGGGAAGAACTTGATTTGTACTTGCACAAATTGGTGGATTTGGGGCACTAGTATGGGGGTTTCACATTTTACGACTATCATAATTCTTTTTCAACTAAGGCCATGGCAGCTTTAGCTCAGTTCCGCATTAGTACTGACTGGAGTCAATTAGATACAGAGCTATTCTGCCATCACTTTGCAGGACTTAGCCCATCCTGTGCCATATGCCAATTCCCATTTTCCCAATTTGGGACTTAATGAGGCAGTCACCCTCAACAAGCCATGCTTCCACTTTCTTCCACAAACCAGAGCAAAAGGTCTTAAAGACAAGTTAGGCGGACCAGTTGTGCTTCTATGAATGTCCCAGAAGTGTAATAACTTTTAATGCCAGCAGCTGGGTTTTAGTGCATGTAGATTGTTCCATGTATGTTCATTGTGCTTTAGATCTCACGCTGAGACCACGTGCCCGAACCATTGTTTCCAAAACAGTGACTGGTAAATCAATGTTCATTCCCCCTTTGACTGACCAATATCCAGTTTTTGGACATATGCTGCAGCCTATACTGGCTT